TTTTTTTTTTTTTTTTTTTTTTTTTTTTTTTATTTTGTTTCTGTTGTTGGTGGTGGCAATAGTGATGGTAGTGGTAGTGGTGGTGCCGCTGGTGCTGTTATCGGTATTGTTGCTGCTATCGCTATTGCTATTGCTTCTGCATTACTGCTACTGTTGTTACAGTTGAAGAAAGATTTTGCAAAATGAGATTAGTTTTTGGAACTGGTATGTATCGGCAAGGATCACTTAGGAAGAGTGTTCAGCGCTCCACTGCTTTCGATCGCATAGCAACCCAAGACCCACTTTACTTCTTTCCCTTTCAAACATCTTAGTTGAACTTATAACTTGTTTTAAAGCTCCAGCTAACAAATTTTTTTTCAATTCTGTTATACTAAAACACGTAATATTTTCTTCAGCATCTTAATTTTTTTTACAGTTGCTGTCAGTCATACTTAAGCAAAATTACTATTAGCAGCAAGAATCAACAAATTCTCTTTCCAGTTTCATTACTTGCCCAAATCTTCTTTTCTTACCTGAGTATCTCCATAAGAGCATTGGACTCGGTAACGGTTATGGCGTTTATTTATGCACTGAGAAAAAATAAAAGTTGTTTTTGAGGTAGTTGAAATAGACATAAAAGAGAAGAAAATGAAGACAAGATAAAAAAGATAACCAAAGTCAACTGCACACAAACAGCCTTACGGAAGAATATATTTTGATGAATCAGCTAGACTACTTTTTTTTTATTTCATTTGCTCATGAACTACAGAAGAATCAAAATCATAAAGAAAAGACAAAACAAAATACAAACACACACACACATACACATTCACAAACTCATATACAGATAAAAATGTCAACAGAATAAGAATTTCTATAATTTTGGTTGCAAGAAAAAAAAACAGACTAATTTCTAGAGAAAAATTTACAAAAAAATTTTTTTCTTTTTCAAAACAATGCAGTGGCAGCAGTGGGCAACTAGAAGCAACAACGAGATCAGCGACAGCAGTAGCAGGTAGAAGCAGACGAGTAAAAGGTCGATGATGAGATGGTGATGATGATGATGATGATGGTGATGATGATGACGATGAGATGGTGATGATGATGATGATGATGATGATGATGATGAAGATGATGAAAATGATGATGATGATGAAGAGGATGATGATGAAGAAAAAAAGTAAAAAGAAAGAAAGAAAGAAAGAGTGAATGAATGAATAAATAAATAAAAGAAAAAAGGCAAAACACAAAAAAAAAAATGAATTTTCGAAAAGATTAGCAAAAAAATTTTTTCTTCGGGATATTTTGGCCAACGCCCCGAAGAAAGAACAGTTTTTGAACAATTATTTTTCCGATTATTTTTAGAGCATAAATTGAATAGAAACGATGGTTTTTAGCTGAAAACTTCTGCTTGTTGGTATGTGAAAATTTTTGTTTGAGAGGGGGAGAACAATTTGTTAGAGAGATGCCAGCTTTTGTCGAGGGTTTTTGAGCCGAGCAGAAAAATAACGACTGCTAGACGAACAGACATTTAGCGGGTATTCGGGGCGAGAATGATCATTGCAAACCCGGTGAAGCCAGCTTCGAGCTTATATGTGAGCTTTTGAGAAGCTCTGCTAGAACAGCATGCCTGGGGCACCACGCTTCACGCAGAAGCCCTCGATACAGCAAACCCCGCAAGGGGATTTGCTCATGGAATGCCATCTTGAGGCAGATCCGCCGCCAGATATTGTATGGCACCATGCCGGAACCCCGATTGCTGCCGGTCCGCGCGTTACGCTTACCTTAACTAACCTACACGACAACCTTTACAAGGCTATTCTGCTGATCAAAGTTTGTGCAGTTTTTTGCTTACTTTCGCTTACTCTACCAGTTGTCAAAACTTTTTCTTTTTTTTATCTTTTAGGTTGTCTTACTGTTTCAAATAACTACCAAAATTTTCCTATTTTCTTCTCTTCTTCAGTTCTTTTTATTTTGTTTAATATTGAAAAGTTGATGGTACTCTGAATTGTTCGGTTTCTTTTCATCAGATACTTTTTGACACTAAGTAAAGCTCCTATAACCGGTTGAAAAAAAAAAGAAAGAAGGTTATCTACTTTTTTTGACTGCTATTTTAATTTATGAATATTTTAATAATCATTGCCAGGCTTGATTTAGTCGGTTCTCTTCTTTTTTTTTTTTTTCGTTTTTTTTAGTGTTATTTTAGGTCTTTCATAACAGCACTTTCTTACCTGAAAATACAACTTCTTTTCTGTTATTTTTGCTTATATTACGAAATTTTTTTGTTTCATTTTCAGATTTAAAAAAGCTTTAGTGGAGGTTTCATTACACTCTGTGAATTTATGCTTTCACTTAAATTTGGACTGAACAAAAAAGCATAGTTTTTTTTGTTTTGATACTGTAAATTTTTGTCGTTCTTCAAAATAAAAATATTTTGATGATTTGATTACAATGGGATGGGATGGATAGTAAAGCAGTTAAATTTTTGTTCGACATCTTTGTAGTTTTTTTTCTTATTTCGCTATTCAGCTTTCTTGAAAGAATGAAAAGAAGAAACAAAAAAAACTGGCTTTATCAATAAAAAGATCCTTGAAAATTTAAATTTTTTTGATGTTTTCTTTTCTTTTTTATTTTGTATTCTGACAGAACACAAAAAAAAAGCAGTAAAAATTTCTGGTTTTGGTACCTCAACTAGTCAGTGGGATATGTTTAAAGTTTTGTTCGTTTCTTTGACTTTCTGATAATTCCTTTTATTTTTTTCTTTTACAGCTTTTTTTTTTTTTGTTCTTGCTATTGTTGTTCATTTATTCCCCTTTCCATCCATTGAGGTTTTGGTGGATACAGAAAAGAGAAAGATAGAAAAATGTGCAGCAACAAAAGATAACAATTGGGAAAAAACAAAAAAAAACAGAAAGTACTAATGACAGAAAGATTTTGCGTTTTTTTTTTTTTTTTTATCACTAATAATTAAAGTTGAAAAAAACTAGAAAACTTGAAAAACGTTTCTGTAACTTTTTTCTTTTACAATTATCTCTTCCCAAACACTTGGTTACTTTTTTTTATTGCTCTTTTCTCTTCTTGTTATTCAGGATTATGAAGGGTGATAAGATTGTAAAAGTTGTAGGTGTTGGAGTGCAGTTTTTTTATCGCTTGTTGAGGCTTCCGTAAGACAACCAAATGCTAAATAATATGCATTTGCGTTCTGTTCCTTGAATTTCTCATACGCAAAAAAAAGTCGAAAAAAAAAAAGAAAAAAGAAGGGATTTGTTTTAGAAGAGAAAACTTCAAAAAAAATTGATTGATAATCTTTCGACAATATACCCAAATGATATACTGATGTTATTCGGACGCGTTTGTGTGTCTGTGTGTGTATTTGTCTGTATTTGTTTTTTTGTAAGAAATACCTCGGTTTATTCAGAGAATCTTAAAAAAAAAAGGCAAAAAAAAGACAAGACAAAACAAAACAAAACAAAAAGAAAGAAAATAGACTTTTACTTCAGTCCCTTCTTAAAATGCTTTTTTCATTCCTCCATTTTTTTTTTTAAATTTTTTTCATCCTTTTTATTTCTCAAAAATCTTTTTCAGCTAATAATTTTTTGCATGCAATCAAAGAGTACTATTCACTTGAGTCTGTTATTAGTATTGAAGCAATTTTCTACGGCTCTCGCCTGCTCAAAATACCAGTAAATTCACTTGCAAAGATAAAAATCCGGTCCGGCGAAAATTCATTAGAATATTGTTTGAAAACAGTGCATATTAGATGTTGGATGATTGTTCCAAGTTCCACTTTCATTCATCTGCTGTTTAGGAGCCGAATGTCAGTGACGGCGGAGCGTATAAATGTACAGCAGGAAATCAATACGGGGAATCAAACGCAAATATCAACTTAAACTTTGCAGGTAAACATCCGTTACGCTATTGCCAAACGGATAAATGCTGTCTTTACATAATGTTCCCACCTCTTCCCATCTTCTCTTAGCAAAAACAAAACAAAACAAAAAAAAAAGCCAACAACAGTAACAACAACTGTAGTAACATATTATTTTTTGGTCTTTAAGAAAAAGACGATTGTTACTGTTATTAATGTTGCATACAAAGTAATATAACTTTTAAAATTCTTTCTTTTTCTTTTCTTTAATTTTTAGTTTTTTTAACATTTTCGGTTTTTAATTAGAAGAGTCGATAATGAGGCAAAGCAGCTGTATAGGAGAAGAAGAAACCACCAACAGCAGTGAATTGTTCATTAAAAATTTGCAAGTTCAAAATGAAGGTGTAGAAAAGATTTAATAGATGTTGTGAAGAAGGAGAGGAAGAAGAAGAAGAAGAAGGAGAAGTAAAAAAAAGATGATAATGATGAAAAAGACGAAGAAGATGGAAATAAAGTTGGAGAAGGCATAACAAAAAAAAAAAAACAGTAACAGCAAAACTGAACACTCCATCTTTTACTCCTCAACAAAAGATAGCATCAACAACAATTCAACTGAAATATTTTTATGTAGTCAAAAGCCATGAAAAATTTGTCGTCAGTTTTTTTTTCAGCATTTTCTTAGCCATTTCGGCTTTTTTTAAAACCTAACTTTCTTCTCTCCTTCTTCTGCTCGTTTCCATTCTTCTCTTGGTCATCAGATGAGCTTAACTCAAAGTTATTCTTTTATAAGATACTTATAGGAATAGAAACGAAGTAAAGTAAAAAGAGCAAAAATTTATTCGCTTCAGCTGCAGTATCGTAGCTTTTTTTTTGCCTTCTCTTATGTTTTTTCGTTTTTTTTTCTCTTTGCCTGTCCACAACAACCATTGGAAAATTTGTATAAACATATATCAGTAATAATGAAGAGGCCAAGGGAAAAAAGAGTCGGAATTACAATATCAGTTGATGAAGAAGAATCTGTTCTTATGGCTGCTTTGATTGCTGAGAAAAATCGACGTTAAGTGTAGAAAAAAAACACTTTCAAATGGCTTTGAATTCATTCGAAAACAAAGAAAACGTAAACTGAATTCCATTATTTTTCACTGATTTACTTTATCAATGAAATTCTCTTTTTTTTTTTCTGTTTATAGCGCACCCGAAATTTCTGAAGTAGCAATGGACAGTAATTAGTGTAACAGTTTGTTTCTTTTATCTCAATTGCCTCATCTCTGAATCCTAAGTCTTATGGTTTTTTCTTATGAAACCTGCTAACGTCATGACAAGCAAGCTTCAGATTACTCTCTTAGATGATGTGGTTAACTGTAGTTGCCGCCTGTCGATTTTCTTAAAACTGTTGGCCATGGGGTGGAGGGGGGTGTCAGTAACGATGCTGATGCTGACGCTGCTACTGCTGTTGTAGCTGCTGTTTGCTACTGCTGCTGCTGCTGCCAGTGGTGGTGCTGATAGTGTTGCTGGTGCTGTTATCGTTGTTGGTGTCGGTGGTGTCGGCAGTAGTGGTGTTGTTGGAATAGCATCAGATGATCCATCCCAACAAACTGTTAACATTATAAAAGTGGCAAAAAGTTGTTCCTTTCTAAGCATAGTTTGTGTAAATTAATATTGATGTTTAAAACTGACAAGAAAATTAGTCATAATATTGCAGAAAAAAAATTCAGCTTTCCTCCAGTATTCTTCACAGATTTCCGGTAATTTGATTCAGTTTTATAGGAAACTTTTTCCTTCCACCATTAGTTTGAAAATCAACTTTTTATGACAGATACTGATAGATGCTTAGATCACCAATGCTTTTAATGAAGCACATTTCTCTAATATTTAAATATACTATGGAAAACACACACAAAAAATTTCTGACTTATTTTTATACCTTCTTTTTTCTGCTCTAGCCTTTTTCTGGATTATATACTAAGTAACTCGAAGTAACTCAAATCTAAAGCCTGTAGTGAGCACAAATTTAGCTGCTGTCGCTGGTGCAGCTGCTGCTACTGTTTCCGGTGGTGGTAGATTTGCTGCTTTTTACTGTAGAATTTACTATTGGACTGAAACGAAGAAAACGAAAAAGAATAAAAAAATTATGCAATAAAATTCCAAAATTTTTTTACCTTTAAAAAATTTTTTTTGTTCAACGCTTAATTTCAGTAGCTTATTGGAGCGAAATACTGTTTTTGAGGTATTTTATAAATGGTTTAACATATTGCAGCAAATAAGTGCACAGAAACAGGCAGAGATTCACGCTCATATGCCAATATTCATACCCACAGATGCTTTAGCTACCTTCGTTTAAACTATTTTTTTTGCTTTTGTTTTAAATGACTTTGCACCAAAGTCTATTGATTTGATAGTGGTTGACTGTTGTGCAGAGAAACTCGTGGATAACTTCACACTTTCTGCCAGTATAAATCTGTGCGTATGTCAGTGTGTTTGGGTGTGTATGTGTGTGTATATGTGTGCGTGCTTTTTGAGGGCGTAATTTTCTGTGTAACAATGTCTCTAATAACTAAATGATAGAGATTGGTCTGTTTCTTCACCACTAACTCTGGAACACTTCCACTTTCACATTGATTATGTTTAATACGAAAAGGAGGGAGATGCAAAATACGGGGAAAGTGAACCAAGTGGAAATTTTTATCAACGGAAACGAAAAAAAAACGATCATTTTTGGTCCTGCTTATTAATCATCGTTTTTCATTCCTTATCTTTTCTGACTGAACTATAGACAGTTTGCTGTTGCTTCTGTCTGCCTCTTTTTGTTTTTCTTTTCCTTCAACAACTTGGATTAAGTAGCGTAATATCGACAATGAACGAATCGTTCAATTGGTTGTCTAGGTTTCTTGCACTGGAAAAAGGTTTGTTTGCGTTGCTGTTGAAGGCAGGAGGATCAGTTAACAGTTCTGCGGAGTACGATCTGCTGTAGTGCATGGACGAGATAAATTCTTGACCATTTGTCAACTGTGAATTAAAAAGACAGCAGAAATCAAGTCAACAAAGAAAAAAAAAGCAATCGCAAAGAAAAAAATGGAGTTTTGCCCTTGTAACAGAAATTTAAAAGAGGCCGTTGTTAAGCAGGTTTGCCATTATTTTCCTCTGTTATCCTTAGGTTCTACGCTGTGAACTGGCGTTCAACGCGTTGACGCTCTAAGGGAGGCAGCGCTTTGAAACCGATTCATCTCCGCTTTAAGCCAGCAGTGCTGTGATTCGGTTGAATAAAGGGAACAGAAGGGAAAGAGGAAGATTTTTACTATATTTAATAGTTGGAATAATAATGAAAAAACTGTTTTTCTGACCATTCTTTCTTGAACTCTTTTTTCCAGCATAAAGAAATATTTTCCCGTTGGAAGAGAAAAAACTGCTTGTTGAAGGCTTTTAAGGCATTTGCAGGAACAAATAAGCTTTTCCTTTTCCATTAAAATAGTAAATTTGACAAACTGTAGAACATATTTTTACCGGTCTATTTTTTAGTAGTTCATAAGGTGTTTTTCTAAGTGAATTGCGGCGATCACTGTCAGTTAAAGATGTCTTTGGAGTGTGAAAAGTAAAAAAGCAATCCGGTTGCCGCGGATTACTGAAGAAATCCATTAGTAATAGAACAAGTAATGTACTATTTGTTTGCTCTCCCACAAGTAGTCAACATTTGCACTTTGTTATTTGAATGACTACACCCAATCTGTTCTAACAGACTGATTTTATTTTTGTTTTTATTTCTTTTTATTTCGTTTTTCTTTAATCTAAGTCCACAACCAAAAAGCTGTTTTTTTTTTGCAGAAGATTTTTGAATAATTTTTTTCTGGATTTTTTGTTAACTGCTGTTTTAAAGGTTAACGAAGCAGCGGTAGGGATTTTGGTTTAATCGCTGTTGGTCGCGATCTTTTTGATTCAATTCATTTTTTAATCGCCGTTATTACAATAAAATTAGCAGATTTCTGAATTCTTTTTTGTTTATTTTTGAGGAATTATGGGTAAAATTTGTATTAAAAGAGAAGCTGTAACGGTTAAACCGCTTATTTAATGTGTAACAAAACCATTTTTCGCTGTATAGGTTTAGGTCGAAAACTAATACGGTAATGTTAGAAATAATATGAAGATTAGTGATGTTTCAGTTGTAAAGTTGACAAACCGGTGAACTGTAGTGGGAATTTGTTTCGACCAAAGTAAAAGTAGGAAGGAAGAAAAAAGTTATTCAATTGTCCCTACCAGTTAAACGTTGTATCTTTACGTGAACAGCAGTAGCAACAAAGAAATAAAAATAAAAAAGTAGGGAAGAAAAAGAAGAAGAGAAGAAAAGAAAATAAAGAAAATTCATTTTCTTATTAGGAAAAAAATTGCAGATGGAAAGCATAAAGTGTTGTGGTATTTCTGTGGACTGGCAGTTAAATTTGTGGTTGATTAAGACTACTGGCAATCCCAAACAGTGGTAATGCTGATGATGTTGGTGTTTCGTTGTGTTGTTGTTGGCATTGTTGGTAAAAATTGTTTCAATGGTTATGTTCTAAAAACTTCGTTGTTTTAAGAAAGATAAAAAAACTGAAAATAAAGTAGAGGAAAGCATAGGAAAGAAAAGCATAAATTTGTATCTAAAGATTGAAAAAAAATGCCAAAAAGAAAAAGGAAAAGAAAAGGTTCCACTTGAAAACTTGTTTACATAAAAATTCATTTGGATATTTACCTCGAAATTTTTTGTTCTTCCTATCTGTATTTCCACTTTTTTTTATTTTTTATTTTTTCTATCTCTGACGACATTTTGTGTGAAAAACTTAGCGGATAAACGACAAAAAAATTCAGTCCCCTTCTCCACCCTCTCAATTTTTTGTTTTCTTCTTTAAAATGACATTTGAAGGAAAAATATTTTTTTCCTGAATTGTTACTGCAAAAACTACTATTTTTTCTTGTTTAACGAAAAAAAATTCAACCAAGCAGCCAACCAACCAACTAAGCAATCAAACCAAACGAACCAACTACTCTAAAAACTTTATTTTTTTTACCGTACATTTGATTTTGTTAATACTGCTGCTGTCATTTTTTTGAATTATATGCGGTATCAATCCATTTGGCTACAGTA